CCACAGAGAATAGTAAGAGTAAGAGAATAGAAACTTAGAAAAGGAAATAGATGATAGTTTGTCTTTGTCCGAGGATTAAAGGATGAGAGGAAGAATTAGAAGAAACTGTTCTTAAAAGTCTTTATTTCGGGTTATGTTGTTTGGCATTTAAACTGTTAAAAGGTCCCAGAAATTATCTGATCTTGTGCCATAAAATTTACAAGGGGACAGGCATCAAAGACGCTTTCTGGACACAGATATCTCACCCTTGGGCTAAAAATTACTACCATCTTACAAGGTTGTTATTGCCTCTGTAATTGGTAAAGGAATGTGTACAAACCATGTGTTAAATCATTCTCTTCTAGGGCCCTTCAGGTATTGAGGGAGAATCTGGTCTACAAGGCGAGCCAGGTGCAAAGGTAATCTTCCTACACAGTAAAGGGAAGGGTCTCCAAACTTTCACCATCGAATCCGGTATGTTTGCCACGTTTTGGCAAAGCCATCTTGAAAGCAGGTGCAGTACAGCATATAAAAATGGAAAGTGTTCTCAAATAAGTCAGAAAGAAATATTTGTCAGAAAAATATCTGTATATAGGTATACAGATTTGTATATATATTTATGTGAAGGAGGGGATACAAAAGATAAAGCTAATGAAGCAAAATGCAATAAATTAATCTAGAGAAAAGGAAATAGTGGGAAGTATTTTGGAAGCCCCCTGTCCTCATGATATGACCTCCATAATTATTATATATGCAGTTTTAGTAGAAAAGAGTTTACTCTTTTCCTTTGTATCTTCAGGGAGATGTTGGACCTGCAGGCGGTGTTGGAGTCGCTGGGGAACCAGGGTTACGGGTAAGTGCTAATGGGATGTAGTCGTTAGGAAACTAGGCTTGTGGGTAAATACCTACTAGAAACCATTTTAATGCACTGTCCACCTATTTCGGACACTCAAAACTTAACCTAAAGACTTCAAAAATTGCATAATGAACCTTTCTGGTGCACTATAAAAAATGTCTTTATTCCATAATTTCAAAGCCACATGCCAAACTCTGTTCACATTGTAATTTAGTAGCATTTAGAGTCCTAAGCTCATGTATCCTTTTCTCAGACTCTGGTGTACTCTGCAGAACCCTTTCCAAATATGAGGAGTCACTGTGACTGTCACTAATGTCAGCATTAAGAAGAAATTCACAAATACTAGTGATGAACTCTCAGGATATTTCCTGACCTAACAAGACAGACAAAAGATTGATGTCTAATTTAGGTTTTTTAAAACAACAACCAAGTTATGCAGGGTTAACAATATTCAAGGAGATAATTATAATTAGTTATAACTAGATAGTTTACAAAAGTTATTCTAATGTAGACAGCCTTTAATTTGATCTGTGGTAAGTTTTTCCCAAGATAACAGTGCCCTAGATAATACTGAGACATTTGTTTACTAAAATCCAAAGTAGGAAGACATATTTTACATCCAGTTTCTTTTTTATTTCCCCCCTTTTTTGCAGGGGGTGGACAGTGTAAGATCAGGGTAATGGAAATGTCAGTGGTGCAAGCACAGTGAAGATGCACTGATTAATGTATTTTTAAATAGTTTAGGTTTCAAGAGAGCAAATACTTTATTAAGCTTCATAAAGGGTGGCTCTACATTTCTATAAGTTCTATGTCTACAAGACAGCATCTTGATATACCAAGGACTTCTTTGTTGCCTCTCCTCAGTAAGGGAAAAAATACAGACCCTAAAAAGCAAGTACACTGAATTTAACAAAATTAAGTTGTATTAATCCATGTCAATTTAGTACAGCAAGGTACTATAATTTTGTAAGATGCACTGTTTAACAATCCTTCAACTCAGAAACACAGGTATAACTATATAAATTTCCAGAACTACCATATATATATATATATATATATATATATATATATATATATATATATATATATTATCTTTTATTTGGAAGTTATTGCTATTTTGGGAGTATCTTGTATTTGAATTTGCAACGCTATGACTCTTTAAATCATCTTCAGAGATATTCCAGAAAAATTAAATCATGCTTATCATACTGTCAAATATTCCTTATAAATGAAGTAGGAGGAAATGTACACAAACCTGCTACTTTCAATAAATACCAGGGGCAAAACAAAAAAGAAAATTATTTAGCAAAATAATAAACCTTACTGTTTCTGCTACAAAATAGGGTGAACCAGGAGCTCCTGGAGAAGAAGGTCTCCAAGGAAAAGATGGATTAAAGGTAAATCATATTTTTAACATTATGTATAAAGTAGATGTTTTTGTGAAATCTTTAAAATACTATATATAACTATTTTTATGTTCTAAACAAAAATCTGCTTATTGTGTGGTATAATTATTTCACTGCTTTTCCTTTCTTAAAAATGTTTACTGGGTTACAGGGGAACCCAGGAGGAAGGGGACTTCCTGGAGAGGATGGAGAAAAAGGAGAGATGGGCTTACCAGGGACTATAGGGCCCTTGGGTAGACCAGGTATAATGGGCCCTCCGGTGAGTACTGCTGAGTTGATTTTCAAATACTTAGTGACCTCAGTCCCCTATGTGTACACACACATACACACACACACACACACACACATACACATACACATTCTGACTTACCTCCAGGTCGAGCTGTTGTTCACCATCTTAGCTGTAGAGGGCGCAGTGTCACTGGCCCGCATGTGGGATCTGAACTGGGGCCCTGCTGCTCAGAGCTGGTGTACCAAGCCAACTCTTAACCAATGCGCCACTCGGTCCCCCCAGATTTCCATTTTTTTTAGTGTTAGCTATTAATATAGAACTAATAAAGGAAGCTTTATTATTTTGGTATTGTCTTATTTACCTGATTCTTTATGATCCTTGTGACTTTACTTTGGTATTTGCACATTTGGATAAGCAGACTCCCTTCCAGACATTGCAGGTTTGTTTTGGCAAGGAAAGATCTTCACCAGTCTGCTTAGCTTTGTCTAGTGGATGGGTCAGCTGGTAGCATTTTGGGGCAGGTAGAGCTTGCTATTGGAGTCTCCAGTTGGGCGAGGTCCTACCCAAGTTCTGAGGTATGGGAAGGGTTGCCACTAGCTGGTCTCTGCAGTTGAGTTGGCCTGCTGACTGGACTCCACATTCTAGTGGGGCCACTGAATATGCACCCTAACTGGGTAGGGGTGCTGGCTGCACTCTGTGGTCAGGTGGAGCCCCTAGCTGGGCTCTGCTGTCACCTCTAGTAAGGTGAGGTCTCTGGGTGTTTCCTGGCAAAGCAGTATCACTGATTGGACTCTGCGATTGGGCAGGGCCTCCTGTTGTGCCCCCTCACTGAGTGGTGCCGCTGGCTGGACTCCATGTTCAGGTGGGACCACAAGCATGGCTTCACAGTTGGACAGAGCTTCAAACTCTGCCCCAAATTTGGGCAGAGTTGCAGGTTGTAGTTCATGATCACTTAAGTCACTAGCTATACTCCCGTGTTGGGTGAGGTCACTTGCGAGGCTGTCTAGTCAAGTGGGGCCTCCAGCTGTATATTGCAGTTGGTTGGGGCTAGAGACTGCTCAGTGGTTAGGTGGGGTCACTGTCTAGGTTCCTTTGTTGGGTGAGGCCACAGGCTATGCTCTACAATTGGCCAGGGTTACTGGCTGGGCTCCCTGTGTTTAGTAATTGGACAGGGTTGTAGGCTAAGCCCTGCTGCTGGGCAGAGATGTTGGCTGGGTTCCACGACTGGGTAGTACTATAGGCTGAGTTCCGAGCTACTCAAGGTAACTATTCAGGTTCCCTGGTTATAAGGAGTTGGAAGTTATGCTCAACAGTTCATAAAGGCTGCTAGCCTGGCTCTCTGCCTGCATAGGGCTGTAGTATTGATTCCACGGCTTCCCAACTTCTCTGGACTGACACCATGGTCAAGCAGGACAAGATTCTATGCCTGGCAGTTGGACAGGGTTGCAAATTTGCTTCCCTGACCAGACAGGGATGTATAACAGACTCCACAGCAATTCTGACCCTTTGGCTGGGGTCCCAAATCATACAGAACTGCCTACCATGCACCCTGACCAGACAGGGCCACCAACCCAGCTCTACAGATGGGCAGACTCACTGGCTAGGATCTCTGCTCAGGTGCTGCTGCAAACAGAAATGCCATCTACCAAGATCTGGTGCTAGTTACTGTGATCCCCAGCTCCCTTCTCTGTCTCTATCTGATCCCCCATTGTAGTGTCCCCAAATTTCCCCTAGTGATCCTCATGAACTGAGACTTGAATGGGCCACCCTGGGAGCATCTTACAGTGCTGGGGCAGCTGATTGTCAGCTTTGGGCTGTCTTTTTCCCATGGGAGAAATGGTAGGCCCAGGAGGCCCACTCAGTGTGGCGCTGTGATAGCCTGGGGGAAGGACAGTGCAATCAAAGTGAAACCTCTCTTTCTACCCTTTTAATGTGGCCCTTCTCCATCTCTGTGGCTCAGTGAGGTGCTTCAGACTCACCTTAAGTTCTGGAATTTTCACAATGGCATCTTCTTGTCTATGGATAGTTGCTACTTGGCCTCCTTCCAGAAGGGGCGGGGAGGGGGTGAGAGGTGAGAGAGAGGCTGAAGTCAGGAATGACTTATGTCACTATCCTGGTGATGTCACCTCAGTTATGGAAATACTGTCACAAAGCATTTGAGGGGGAATATTTTGTGTTATTTTAAACTTAGTTTTATTGAATATTTCTGATTTGTATTCACAGAACTGACATTATTCCTCTAGAGTAACATCCTAGCTCCAGGATGAAATAAGAAATCTTGCAAGCATAATTTAAGTTATCAATATCTGATCTTAAATTGTAATATTACTTCAGAGGAAATTATAAGTGTTATATTGAAAAATTCTCAGGACAAATGGAAGATGTAAACAAATAATGACAATAGCTCCTCTCTTGCTTAAATGCTTCATTTAGGATATTCATTGCATTCTTCCAGATAAGGCCCCACTGGTCGTTTTCCTGTTTTTTCTTTACTGTTTCCTCTTCCTCATCTTAAATCTTTAAACATGAGTTCTCCTCAATATTATTCTCTCTCTTGTTCTCTAAGTATTCTTGACTTTGAAGATATTCTCATACCTTGGGAGTCATCACTTATGAACCTACCAGAAAATGTTTTTTTCTTTTCTCTTGACCCTGGCAGTCTTATTCAGCCTTTTAAAGATTGTAAGTTAACTCTAAAGCATGCAGGTCTCTTCCCCCCAGAGACGTCATAGCTCTTCAAAAGTAGAGGCTCTGTCTTTATTATTTCCTACAAACCATTGTTCAGGCTCTAGGTTTCTACAGGGGGCTTGGTAAGACTGAGGAAGTGATCATGAGTAAACCAATCATGCAAGCAGACAGGCAGACAAAGTAGTCATTTACAAAATTTGTAGTCTTTACACGTTTTTGTGTATTTCTCTTCCTCTGGCTTCTAACATCCAGATCATTGAATGTCTGTCAACGATGGTCCCTGTCCTAGTTATCTCAATTAGGTTCTGAGAACTAAGAGGAAGCGCTGTCTGGCAGAATACAGCAAATACCATAAATGAAGCACAGACTGGCCAGCTCACCATTCATATCATTTACCCATGATTATAATTCCTTCAGCAACAATTCAACTGATGCTATGTCACCCCTTCCTCAAAACACTGGATAGTTGTACCAGCATATTTCAAAGTGGTATTTGAAAGTTGAGGATGACCCAGAAGGGTCACCTGATTTTGAGCAATAGCAAATTGAGTCTTTTCCCCTCAGTTTACAGAAGTGATAAAGTGCCCGTTTCTCCTCTGTCCTGCCCTCCCAGTCCTATGACGGATGTTCCACTACAGCAAACACGAAACATTAGAAGTCTCCCCCCACCAAAACATCACCTTAAACACCATTGACCCAGACACTGAGCAATATAATTTAACTTATATTCTGTCACAGAATCCTTCCAATAACCTATGGATGCTTTATTATTCCCCATTTTACAACTGATGAAACAGACTCAGAGAAACCTAACAAGCTTATACATAATAACATAGCCAAAGGCAGAGCTGGCTCTAGTTCCTTTACTTTCTGAGTTCTGTGTTTTTAAGTCACACTTCTCCATGGGGTAACCAGCCTTGGGCTTATATTTTGCCTTTGCAGGGCTCTTGATAGTTTTTATCTTTTTTAGAAAATTCATCAGGATTTTTAGAAAACTCACAGAGAAACCAAGTAGCAAGTGCCAAGAAAGTATGATTATCTTCCTGAGAATTTTTATCAAATTTGTTTTTATGCAAGGAATTCCTTAACAAGTATTAGTACTTTATCATGGATTTTTTTTTCCAGTCAATTAGCCTAGTCCCCCAGCAGAAACCTAAAGTTGGCGAGGAGTGGAACACAGCTAAGGAGAAGAAAGGCCTAACCATGCCATAGGGTAACAGAGCCAGGAGTCCCAGGTAGAGATGATGCAGCATGACAGCTGGTGATAGGCAGAGCAGAGATGAAAAAGAGACTCAAAACAACGCATGGAAAAATGATAAACACAGACTTCATCTGCTTTATAATTTTTCCCAGGAACCATTCAGCCTTGTACACATCTTCAGTGTCTTTTTTTAGTAACAACACATGTGTGTTTCTTTTTTATTCTTTTTGTTGTACTCCTTGGAATTTTAAATGTCTTTCAGCTCATAAACTCAGTAAAAATACCATAGCATGTTTTTTTCAAAAGAATTTTATGATCCAAGGAACTATTGCTTAATCAGACAGCCTGATGTTGGATTTAGTTTTGCACTTTTAAATATTCTTCCTTAGACAGTGTTGCAAACATACTACTTTAAATTCTTAAAAATTAAACAAGAAAGTGAGAAAAGGAAATTGAAAAAATTTTAGGAGATACTTTTCTTACTTTCTAGAAGATTGGGAAGTGAGATCTGGGTTGAAAAATAAGGCAAAGGAAGCATCAGCAACAAATTCTCAAACACAAAATGTAGACTTCTTTGAACAGAAGAAAAATATGCATTTTATGCTTGAATTCTGTGCTGAAATGTTCAGTTGCCTAAATGCAGAACTCTCTATGAGAAAAGAGTTTGGAAGCATCTGAGAAAACACATCTGCCTGACTTATTATCTGTCGTCCATTTCTTAAAAAACAAAAAACCTATCACTGTGGTTTTGAAGAGCTAAATACACGTGAAGCTATAGACTCCCAAATTGAATGCATGAAAATGAAATTGTCTTGTTTTATTTCTTTAGGACAAAACTTGATTATATTTATTGAAATGTGATTTTTCCTTATCTGTTTAGCGTGGCATGATTTTAGGTAGCGGTGACTATTTTAAGAGAAGATGAAACAAAATAAAGCACCCTTTTTAAAGAAGCTTTTTAAATAGTATTTTAAAAGCAAATTCAGGAAGATGAAAGGAATATCAATACTTAGAAAAGAATAATAAGCTATACATGACTCTTGTTTCTGAGACTGTTTCCTTGGAACCCCAGAAAAATAATCAGTTTGGAAATATGTGGTCAGTGGCATTAAGGAGTACAGGATAATCTCAATCTTTATATTCTGAAAGACTCTTGTGACTTTGGTTTTAGGCTTGTTTGGTCTGAACAGTTGTGCCATAAAGCAACTCAGAAATAGAAAGAACCCTGCAATGACTATTTTGCAGGAATTGTTCAAATCCCTGCTCTGCCATCAAAGAGCTGTACATTGTTAGGTGAGTCATTCTTTGGTTTCTCAGTTTATATTTTACATATAATAAAAGGGTTGGAGTTATGCAGGACCTCCCAAGATAATTGTGTCAGGGGGGATGCTGAGTGGGCTCCTCCTGTTCTTTCTATTCTACTTGAGTCCTGAAAGATTCTTGAATATATGCTTAATATATTAGCTTCTGTATCTGCTTTGGAAGAAAAGATTCTATAGTTTTAAAAAAGCATTAGCTTAGGTGTTTCCAAAATTGTATAACCTTATAGACTGCAACTCTATTAAATGTATTTTTTTATTCACTAAGTCAACAAAGTTTATGAGTATCTTGTACGAAACAAGAGCTCTGCTAAGCATAGGGAATACCAAGGGGAACAAGAGTAGCAAGATCCCAATCTCAGATTTGATAATATTTTGAAGAAGATTGGCAATAAACAAGATCATTCCAGGTTGTGATAAATGCAGTGGTGGAAATAAACAGAATGATGAAAAAGAATAACTGTTCAAGGGAAGGGAAGCTAACTAGTTAAAGGTAGAGAAGTCTATTTCCACTAGGGCAGCAGTGAAGGAAGGTTTCTATGGGTAAAGGAGGATTATGTTGAGACCCGAAGAATGAAAAGGAACCAACCAGTCATGCAAAGAACTTTGGGATATCCTTCAAGGCAGACTAAATAGCAAGGACCAAGATGTGGACATTAAAAAGATCTAGGTATTTTTGTAAAACTAAAAGGAAATTATTACAGCTGTATCATAGTAAATAGTGAAAAATTGTTTGAGGTGAGCTTAAGGAAATAGATAAGAAATAGGTTATTGAAGGCCTTTTTAAACCATAGTAAGAAGTGCGAGTTTTAGTCAAAGTGCAGTGAGAAGCCATTGAAAGGTTTCAAGCAGATGAGGAAGGAACATAGTCTTTGATCGGGATCACTCTATAACTTTTAAACTTTGTTTAATAATATCTGGTGTTTTTTACTATCTCAAGGGATAAAATAAATTCCAGGAAATAAACAGAACAAAATAAATTTGAATTACAAAAGCATGTTATTACCAAGACAATTCAATGAGGGAACGAATGGTCCTTTCAATGAATGGTGCTATAACAACTGGATGTCCACATGCACAAGAATAAGTTGGACCCTTCCTTACACTACACATAAAAATTAACTCAAAATGGGTCCTAGACCTTAATGTAAGAACTAACACTATTAATGTCTTAGAATAAAACATAGCGATAAATCTTCATGACCTTGGGTTATGCAAAATTTTCTTAAATAACGCCAAAAGTACAAGTGACAAAAGAAAAAATAGATAAATTATACTTCATTAAAGTCAATAGTCTTATACTTCAAAGAACACCATTGAGACATGGGTGAAAAGACGCCCATGGAATGGGGGGAAGAATTTGCAAATCATATATATGAAGGGACTTGTATCCAAAATATATAAAGAACTCTCACAACTCAATAATAAAAAGACAAATAACCCAATTGAAAAATGAACAAAGTATTTAAGCAGCTATTTCTCCAATGAGGATGTACAGTTGGCCAATAAACACATGAAAAAATGTTCAACATCATTCACTATTAGGAAAAATGCAAATAAAACCATAGTGAAATGCCACTTCACATCCACTAGGATAATTANNNNACACACACACACACACACACACACACACACACACACACACACACACACACACACACACCAGAAAATAACAAGTGTTGATGAGAATGTAAAGACATTGGAATACTTATACATCACTAGGGGGATGTAAAATGGTGTATCTACTTTGTAAATCAGCTTGCCAGTTTCTCAGAATGTTCAACATGGAGTGACATATGACCCAGCAGTTCTACTCCTAGGTATATACCCAAGAGAATGGATATCAGGGTTCAAACAAAAACATGTACATGAATGTTCTTAGCAGCATTGTTTATGATAGCCCAAAAGTGGAAACCACCCAAATGGTCATCAACTGATGAATTTATAAATGTTTATTATTAAACGTAGTATGTCCATACAATGGACTATTATTTGACAATAAAACAGAATGATATACTAATACATGCATGCTACATTGATGAACCTTGAAAACAATATGCCTAGTGAAAAGCCAGTGATAGCAGCCCACATATTATAGGAAATGTCCCAAACAGGCAAATCTATAGAGACAGAAAAGAAATTAGTGGTTGCCTAGAGCTAGGGGAGTTAATGTGAGATAAAATGGGAAGTGACTTCTTATGGGTAAAGGGTTTCTTTTGGAGGTTATCAAAATGTTCTAAAATTGATTGTGGTTATCCTTGCAGAACTGTGAATATACTAAAATCCCTTGAATTGTACACTTTAAATGGATTCATAAGAGTTATATCTCAATAAAGTTGTGAAAAAAATAGATGTGATGTATTATTTCTGAGACAATACAGCTACTCTCACAAAGTTTAAAGTAATCTGTAGGAAATCCCAACTTTCTTCTGTTTTATGAGTAGGCTGAACATCAAGCCAACTATTATGTCAACGTCACATTTATATAAAAGCATTCTTATTTCTGTAATTACTGAAGAAACCTATTAAAATATGCACATTATAGAAAAATATTGCTACTTTTCCAGTCTTCCCTGTGAACCTCTCTAATAATAATGACAAAAAATAATTCGATAGAGAATACAGGCAACCTCTTTTCTCACACATAATGAGCTCTTCAAACATGTGCAAAAGTTTGCTGTGCAAGTTTCCAAATAAATCCACTCAAACTCTTCAGTATAAATCTAGTCCTTTGTAAGCTTTACATGCATTATCTCATTTAATCTTAGTAACCCATTGAAGAAGTAATATTATACCCCTTTTATATAACGAGAAACTGAGGACTTTAGAAATTAAATAATCTACCTGTGGTCATATAGCTGTTAGGTGACACAGCCAGAATGTGAAACTGGAGCAGCCTGGCTTTTAAAAAGCTCATTCCGTTAACCTCTATGACAGTTACTCAGACCCTTTTTAAACATTCATATTAGCCACAAAGAAGTCTCAGGTTAGTGTAACTATCATTTCAGCCTCTGGATGCAGCTAGAACTACAGCAATAGAACTGAACCACATTGACCTCTAAATTTAGCGACTTTCTGAGGCTAGAAGAACATTTGCTCAGGAGTATAGAGCATGAGTCATTTCCTTAGGTATCTGTGTATTCGTTCAACAAATATTTATCAAGAGCCTACATAGCACAGTGGTAAACCACAATTTATTTCTTGTCTACATCATCTTTGCAGTTTGCCAAGCTTTGGGACACAAGTTTGAGATTTCCATTTTCGTTTCCAACTGAGGCAAGGAATGCTGTGATTATTAGCCATTTTAGAACTTGCAACCCAGCCTACTGTAGATCTCATTTAAGCCTAACCATTGCTGACCTGCAAAGTCACACAATATCTAAAATATTTTAGTTACTTTTTACTAAAAAAAAAAGTGTATATTGAATTTACAGACTACTTGTGTCTAAACAAACTAGATTGAAATGAAAATATTGTTTTAAACAGTCTAATATGACAACTTCCTTTTTCTCCTTGTATTTTCTTCTCTTTTTCCCCCCCACAGAACAAAGAGTATCTCTTTAATCCTCTACTCCAATGAGATGTTCAGATTCTCCTTGACTATCATTATATTTTGTAATCCTATGCATTCAGCAAAATGTTGAACGCGCAGTAGCTCATAGAAATGCTGAAATGGATGCATTTGGGTTTACTTTACTTATATTCTTGCTAATTAAAATGTGTATACTGAAAATAAGTAATTTTCTTCATATAATAAAGAATTATTTAATTCTGTCTATCTTGGCCACTCTGTATATGAGAATTTTACTCACTAGCAACAGCTGTGACTAAATCATCATGACATCTTTTGAAATAATTAAACATAGTATTATAGAAAAGTAGCTTTCATTTTCACTTAGTGTTCAATTCAGTGATTGTGTGATATAAGTATTTAAACATTACATCTAGTACTTGCTTTAATAATTTATTTTTTTATATTGAATATTCAGGGACCTGAAGGAGTTCTGGGAATTCCAGGACAAAGAGGTCGTCCAGGAAAAAAGGTATTTTTTTTACATCTTTTTATGCTGGTTTTCTTTCTTCTCATGTGCCCAGAGCTCCATAATGCTATGATGTTTTCATTTACACTATATATAAACTAATAAAGAAATATACATTTGCCTTGAAAGAAGACATTTGTATAAATTAATAATTAATTCCTTTTAGATGTACTTATCACCTTAATTATTGGAAGGCAAATTTTTCATTTTGTATTTTCTAAAAAGATTGTTGCCTTTCGTTCTCCTGTTTGCTGAAATTTTTTAGTAGCCCACTAGCCAGAAAAGAGAGAAAAGGAAAATGCTATGCCATTTGTGCTATTTAGTAACAACTTTAGTAAAATGTTTTAGAGAAAGGAATATGATTAGAATTATTTCTAGGTTTGTTATTAATGTGGTTTTTAAATTTCTTTTTATCTTTTATTTTATTTTATTTTTAGTTTCATAATGATTTTTAATTGAAAGGTTAATGATTGATTTTTTTCCATATATTGTCTAAGAAACACAAACCAAGAATGTTTTATTTGCTTCTTTTATATTTTACTTAAAAATGATATATTTGTAAAAATTTTAGCACATAATTAAAATTCATCCTTATATGGGGTCAATAATTTGTTCAAGTATTGGTGAGCTATGGAAATGATTTTCCCATTGTACTACAATGGTTCTGAACATATCTACTATAACTTCAAATCACACATATTCTATTGATTTCATCATATTTGCTAATACATACCTACTCCATCTTTCTCATAATTGGGGAACAGTATAAGGGATCATAAAAGATAAATAAAATGAATGAGGTAAATTTTAGTTGCCATTCTAGCTCATGAATATTGAAGCCTCTTTTCATCATACATAATTTCATGCCAAAAATCAACATTAGAAGTGGGGCACCGCAAGTCCTCACAGCAACCTGCACCCTTGGGAAAGCCAGTGAATTATTATGAATACTAAATATTTTCTGGCTGACTATGGTCAGAGTTTAGTTTTTCTTTGTATACTTGAATATGAATAACAGAACAGCTTTGTTCCCACATGCAGAAAATGAATTATATCACTTAACGTTGCTTAAGAGCAGTTATATTTTGGTGCTAGAGAATGATCTGTCAGCCTATTGGTAAACAGAAGGTTACTATAATAGTTTTCAAGAGGATGTAAAATAATATATAACTGTCACAGATTTTTAAAGGCAAACTCCAAGCCAGTGAGTGACAAACCTGAATATACAGAACTGCACACCAGAGCCTTTTTGCATTAAGCAGATCTTTGTGGCATTGAAGTGCTCTGTAAAAACAAGCTTCTTAATAGGGTCTGTGTTTTCTCATTATGACTATATATATATATATATATATATATATATATATATATATATGACTATATATATATATATATATGCATGCATGTGCACATGTATGCATGCATACATACATGCACATATACATAAATTTCAAAATAAAAAACATGGTGATTTGTATCTCAACATAAGCACCAGATCGCCTCTGCTTGTTTGGCCAAAATGTTTGTTAATTCTTTTTCCAAATTACTTTAAATTATATTTTTAAGATAACCTATCTGGGGATGATAGCATGTTATTATTGTCAGTGGTGATCTGTAGTACTATTAAGTTAAAGCAAGTTAGTATTTGTAGAACTTTGCTTACAGGATGTCAACTGGAGTCATTCAGATCTATGTTATAGTTAATTAATCTAAGTGTAATTTTTTTTCTTACGTTTTTCTCTTATTAATGGCATCCACAGGGTGATAAAGGACAAATAGGACCCACAGGAGAAATTGGAAGCAGAGGTGCTCCTGGACAAATCGGGGAAAGTGGTCCTAAGGGTGCCAGAGGAACTAGAGGTGCTGTGGTTAGTATTAGATTTGTTTCCAGAACTGAGTTCACTGTGGATGGAAAAGAAATGTATCCATGTCCTTAAAGCTTCATCCCTTGATTAATTTTACAGAGAAAGCAGTAGTTCCATTGAAAATAATCTACCTCCATGGGATGTGGAGAATTGTAAGCATTCCACAGTACTTAAATGGCTTAGTGGTTTCTGGACATGAAAAAGGAAAGGGGAAAAAACTCAAAATGGAAATGAAATATGAAATGAAGTTTAAAAATATCAGATTATAACTCTTAACCTAAGTAGGAAAGTTTAACTGCTTTGCACTTAAAATCAGGATTTAACATCTGTGTAAATCTAAGTTGTCATGACTGACAAATTGCTTCGAAAATAAAGTTTACTTGAAAATGCATTTTGTTTATATGTTTGGACTCCACGTGCTTATCTAGAGGTTATTTTTCTAACTAGCTGTGATAACTCTCCATGACATCTAATAATACTTAATCTTTTGCATGAATGTTACATGATGTTAGAAACAAGGATAACATAATATTTCGGAACCTATAATAGCAAAATTATATTGCTAATATATTGGATCTGTTCAGACAGTCACGACATGAGAGAATTCAAAATGTTTAAGTGATTATCCAATTTAGTCTTTTCACTGTTTCATAAACTTATTTACAAAATGCATATGCATTTTGTGGTCCCCATTTAAATGTCACAAACATTAGACTTTTCATCAAGGACTTCTGGAGAACATTGCATGATCCATCTGTGGTCTGAGGAAAGTTTGCCTCAGGCTCATTTTAAGTATTTCATCCCTTACTGTCATCTTACTACTCCAAGTCTTTCTTCCTTCCTTTTATTTAAATTACTAATATATTTCTGTCTTTGACTTTAGGCATTTGAAAATATTATATAAATGTGATTAATTTTTAATAAACATAGAACTAATTAATCCAAAGAGCATTGCCTTCAGAGTAGGCTCCTACATTGGATTTTCTCTAAAAAGAATATTCAGTTTTTAAATTTTGGCACATGTTCCCAAAACACCTTCTCAAGGGGTTTCACCAAATGTCCACTTCCATTACCAACACTTAATTTCATATTCATCCTTTTGATGTTTTCCAATCTGGTAAATGAAAAAGTGTATCTCATTTTCTTTCTACTTACATTTTCGTGATTGCAGCTAAGTAATTTGTATTTTTTTTCTTTGGAAGTTGTCTGTTTATATGCAGTTTACATGCTTTTCTATTAGGCTGTTGTCTTTTTCTTACTGGTTTGCAATAACTCCTTATATTTTTAAATAATATATTTTATTATGTTGCAAAATATATTACAAATATATTTCCCTTTCTGCCATTTATTTTTTAATATTGTTTTTGATACCTTTTGCTGTACAGGTTTTAATTATTACATAGTCAAATTTGTCAGTCTTATACAGTCCTAGGTTTTATTTTGTTTGTTAGAAATGCTTTCCCTATATAAAGTAAATAAAAATATTCTTCTATATCCTTCTAATACTTTTATACCTTTATATCTACACTTAACTCCTTAAAGCATATGGAATTTATTTTTTGCTATGATATTAACTGTAAAGGACTAATTTTTTTTCAAATCGATAGCCAGTTGTCTCAATACCATTTAATAAACAGTCAATTTCCCACTTTCCTGAAATGCTACCCTTACTGTACTAAACTCTCAAATATTCATTGGTCTGTTTCCATTTTCTCTATTTTCTTCTCATAGCCTGTTAGTCTGTTTCTGAGTTAGTACCACGTTATTTAAATTATTATGCTATTACATTATCTTTTGAGATCTGTTACTGCAAATACTCCATAATTCATTTTTCTGAAAAGTTCAGTTCTTACATATAGTGATTTCCTCTTTCATCTAAACTTTAGAATCAGCTCATCAAGTTCCTTTAGTATTGAATCTTTCAATAGAGAAACACCATATGTCTTTCTATTTACTCATATCTTTTTGTATATCTTTCAGTAAAGTTTTGTTATTGCCTTTATTTCTGTTCTTACACCTTTCTTGTTAGGTTTATTGTTAGTTTCTTAAGGATATTATTATTTTTAATTGCAATCCTTTCTTCCATTATACCTTTTTGGTGCTGTGTAAGAAATCTATTTATTTTTATATGTTGACTTTATACCCACTTTTATTAATTTAGGTGACTCTCATAGATTCTTTCGGTAAATAATCATCTCACTTCCTCTTACTTATTATCTGACTTATTACATTGATTAGAATTTCTGGTTAATGTAATATGTGGCTAGTCACATACCTATTCTGTGCCTTGAGTTATTCAAACAGGAGCATTGATGTCGAAACTATTTGGTATTATGAAAGATAGGACATTTTAAGGATCATTATTTTTGCTTTTTTTAAATTGTCTGAGCCATCTTTTCAGTAGTTTAGGGACATTTACTTAACCTTTAATTTATGTGGTTTCCTCATCTGTAAAATATTGATGATAAGAGAAATTATAGAGTGATTATTGCACACAAGTTTTCAACCATTTCCATTTTAACAACTTTGACCAGAGCTAAAGCAATCTTCATCAAAGCATCCAAAACTATCAATGAGTACAAACTTCTCCCTAATCCCATCGTGACAATGTCAGAAACTATCAGTCTTCACTCTCTGATGTTCAGTGATGAACATCTACACAAACTTTGACAAACACAAGCTACATTTCCAAGAATTTGCTAGAAACCTGTAGAACTCTAACAGCTGAACGCATTTCTCTTAATATGTTTAAGGAGGTTTATACCAACAGTAGACCAAAGAGACGTTTATGTGTGTATGTGTGTGCAAGAGGCGGGAGGTGTGGGGGGGGTACTTTTGTAGTTCAGAAGAAAAATAAGACCAAAGTTAAGGTGTTAATTTTTGTTTCCCATTTCAGACTAGGCAGAATTTCATACTTTAAAAAATCTAAATTTTAAATAGTAGGAATACAAATTTAATGATTTAAACATTTGGCTATTTTCTGTCTAATATTCACTTTGTTTTTTTAGGGACATTTAGGATTGATGGGACCTGATGGAGAACCAGGAATTCCTGGATACAGAGTAAGCAATTCTAATTGGAAATAAGAAAGTGTATATTTGCATGAAAACATTTATATAAAGATGTTATCCAAAATATGCAAATTAAGATGAACTCTCCCTGATAAACCTTTTTAACATATTTACGCCTTACCCCCCTGTAGAGTGAATCCTAGTTTTCTTTCAAAATAATGCATTATCTAATGGCATGGCCCTGGTGGTATTAGGTAGAGCATGTACAAATGATATGGAGAATGTCTACTTACTTGTCCTTTTGTTAGGGCCATCAAGGTCAACCAGGACTTTCTGGGTTGCCAGGACCTAAGGGAGAGAAGGTATGTGTGTATACTGACTTTTTCATCCTAAAGTTAAACATTGAATTTGTGTGTTGTTTCTGAAAGTGTGGAAACATTTTCAAAGAATAAAAGAAGCACTTTTTCAACATGGGAAACATTGCAAATTATATGAAAAAAAAAAACAAAAAAAAACAAATAACAAGGGGTAAAAATTTCAATAAATCATTAAAATGTCTTCCATAGGTTGTTTCAAGATTGAGGTGAAATAATATATGTTAAAGTATTTTGCAATCCATAAAGCTTTGTAAAAGTAAAATTAATTACTTATTGAAAGAGACTGTGAGACTCTAGATTAAATGACTAACTATGACACATTTATAATAAAATGTTTTATGAGTTAAGAATAGCTACAACAGTACTCCTCTTGATTGATAATATCATTGGAAACCTGACACTGAGAAAATTCTTAAGTTGCTTTTTATGTAATTAAAGCAGATTGACACTTCCAAAGAGCACCATACACAAATTACAACTGTGTATAAAGTATCGTATGCTAAATTTTATAGGTAAAAGTTTTCTATTTAAAAAAGATCAAACCAGATTGTATATTTCATAACATATTAGAAAATAATAGGCTGCATATTTTACAGGTTATTTTATGAATTTAGTTTTTTATAAATCATTATCTTCATTATAGGGTTATCCAGGAGAAGATAACACAGTCTTAGGACCACCTGGGCCTCGAGGTGAACCAGTAGGTCTTTTTCTAAAATTATTTTGATGTTTCAAGATAAAATGCAACTACTATAATAGATCCACAACATCAGTCACATCTTTTCAAAGAGTTTTATAACATGATCTTGTAGGAGAGCAGTATTTGTAGTCACATAATCTAAATATGAAAACTTTTTCCATTCAGGTCAAGATCCTTAGCATAATATATAAATTTAATACAGTGACATTCCAAATCTAACACTCAGAATTAAATGCATGGTAACAACTTTTTACAGAGATTATACAAAAATTACTAGTAGAGATTTTAGGGCAGATATTTCCTGAACCATCAAATTCAGATTTATTTCTAAACTATTTTTAAAAATCTGATCTGTACCCTTTTTGTAATAGTTTATACACTGTTACCAAATGATGTCAAGACTCATCTAATCAGTTATTAGAGCTAATACTTTTTAATGATCACTGATCTATGCTCCTCTAGTTAAACATTTTAAGGGGTAACTGTAACCATGGTTTTTGAAAAGTAGCTATTGTAAGTAAATTAAATGGATAAAGTAAAAATGCTTACTTCACAGAAATAGAATTGGTTAAATTTTCTATTTTTCATATGATCATATAGGATAAAAGAATCTTAAAGCGAAAGGATCAGTGTATGTAGTTACTCCTGGTATTTTGATCTGACCCTTTGGAGATGTTTGAAAATTATACACTGTTTGAGAAATAGATAGGAAAAAGTCTACAATTTTTCTGATTAAATCAAGCCATCTCATATAACTAGAAGCAATCTCATCTTTAAGAATATGTAAGATTCTTTATCAAATATGTTCTAGGCTCTTTAACTCTCTGAGAGGGAAAAACATGGAAATAATGCAAAAATATAAAAGCAAATGGAAAAAATATGGGCAAATGGAGTATAGCAGTGCTTGTTTTCCCCAGATTCAGGCAAGCCAGGATCAAAGAATGTCACTGAAATTTAATAAATATGTTAAACGTCTAACATAACAATGATGATTTTTATCTAGTAGACATGAGAGGTGTGAAACCTAAACCAAGACTATTCTAAATAATTAAAGCACAGTCAGAAATCATTGTCTTTACATTATGTCTATCTTTATCCACATAGAAATAAATTAAAATTATCAGTTAATGTTTCATAATAAATTTTATGGTTTTCTTAATTAATTTCAATTTGAGTTTCTTTTCAAATAGTAGGTCCTTCTATGTGATAATAGAATTTTTCAAGTGCATTTTAGACTAGATAATTTGAATAGCTTATCACATTAAAATTTTTATATTAGGAATGTTTAGAAAAGTTAGAAGTGAGAGTTTATTAATTTCTACCTTAAGGATTAAAATTAACAAGTGCAGTTTTTATTAGGTTAACATATGTCTTAAGAATTTAAAATTTTATAGATTAAAGAATAAACAATAGATTAATTCCTGATTAAGAACAGTAAAGTATTATTAGCTATTAGATACTTTTAAAAGATCACTAAATACAAATTTTCTAATTAATGTAATTAAGTGGCTGAGTAGTCCTGTTTAAATCTTTTTCAATCATCTTAACATTAAGTAAAAGTACAAGTTATTTTGACATCATGTATAACATACTTTACTCATCTGAAAATTCATATTATTTAATTGGACTTCATTTCTTCAATATTTTTCCTAGCAAAATCATGAGATTCTTCTTAAAAAATTCAATGCTTTTATTGTTCGTGGTGTCATTGTGAGTCAATCCTTTGAAATTATTTAACAGAACTAAATAAATTATTATGCATTTGGCTTCATATTTTTAGGGGAAAAAAATCCACCCTACCTGTATCATCCGCATTTACAAACAATTAGATCCAGCTGTGAAATTGATTGTTTTTACATGTGGTCTCTTTAGGGTACAGTGGGGGAACAAGGAGAGAGAGGAGAGCCTGGAGCAGAGGGATATAAGGTAATTGCTACAAATTTTACACCTTGCTTCTAAGTTCAAGTAGGGTTCTCTGTGGTTCTGCTCAGTTTCAAATGAAAATAAGCATCACTGAGATAATTAGTAATATCTTCTGTTTTTGATCCTGGAAGCAGTCTAGCTCTTTGTACTTTCTGTTCCTCCTTTCTAGAATCATCTGTGTCTCCTCCCATTGCCGCTTTTTTCTCATCCTCAGATCTCAGCTGAAATGATACTTTCTGACAGGCTTTCTGTAACTACCCTTTTTACCCATCACTTTATATCATATTACTCAATTTCCTTCAAGACATTTACTGCATCTGTAATCTTACCACTTTTTTTACACATTTGTATTTTGTTGTTGTTTATTGTCTCTCTTCCCCCACCAGAATGTAAGATCCATGGTAATAAGACTCTTGCCTGTCTTTTTCATCCATGCATCCTCAATTTTTAGAACACAAAGTTCCTGGTATATAACAGGAATTCAATAAAGAATTTTCAGACGGATGGATGAATGTCACTATGTTTTCAAGCTTTATGTCAGTTCTTACCGTCTTCCATTCTTAGAAGGATTTTACGAGAACTTCCTCAGCCAGAATTAGATGGTGTAGAATTCATTCAGTGTCATTTTTTATTAGCATAGTTGTGTTGACGATGTTCTGTATTCCTGCCTTATGCCTTTCCCCTTTCTGTTTATAATGTCAGTTGCTAAACAAAATCTGCTAACTCTCTCCTTATACTTGTCTTATTTCTTTGCTCGCAACATTCTCTGCCTGCTCACAATACTATATAATCTTTAGTTACATAAATTCTATCTTTTATAACTTAGTTCAAACTCCATTTTCCCCTTGCCCGCTCTGACTAACATCGCTCTTTCCCTCTTCTGTAATTCTATATTTATTGTTTATAGAAGTTATTCAACACAAATATTCTATCATCTGCTGTTGCTAATTATTTTGCTAATTATTTCTTACGTGCAGATAATTTAGCTCCCCAACTTTGACTATACAGTATAAGATATGTACATAACAGTATAAGATATGTACATAAACATAATTTCATTTTCAATAATGAATTGATGGGCCATTTCATCCAACATGCCCCTCTTTCCTGTGAAAGTTCTGTGGTCATGTCTGAAATGAAGACTTAGATGACCAGATTCAATGGATAGCTAGCAGGTGGATAACTATCATTAGTCAACTGATTTTCTCAAGCCTGAAATCTAAAAGATGAACTTTTACTTTTTTAAAACTCTCTTTGAAGCAAATGTTCCAGGTAATTGTAAATGTTTGTGAAATTGTTGTGATGACCATGTTCTGTTTCCAGTTTACATAACATTTGTATCTACAAGTGTTTCCTAATCCAAGGAATCCAGTGGATTTACTTGAAAATAGCTTTACTTTGGGTTGAGAAGCCAACCCACTGCTTCCTGCACAATTTGAAAAGCTTCTTAAACTTACTTAGCTTTCTTGTGCATGACTTCTCTACACATTCTCAGGAAAATCAGCTCCTTGCAATATCTTCTTTTGATCTCTAACAACTACAAAGCATTAGGTAGCTAAATCAGCATATTTACTGGCAAACAGTTAACAGCTATTCTATTGAAAGAAGAAAAGAGTCTCTTCACCCGGCTAGCAGAAGAAACACACTTCCCCATTATTCTGGATTGTCATACATTCTTCAGAAGTTCTTCGTCAAAGTTTGATTCCCCATCCTTCTTTCTGTCTTATTCTATCTTGGGTCCTTAGGCTTTTGGGGTCATTTTACCGTTTGTTGATGGTTCTATTCCAAACACCCATCTTGTGCCAGATAACCACATTAATTTCATTGCTTGGAAATATCAAAGTCATGAATATCTACACTTGTTTCCTGCCAGAATTTCCAAGCACGAATTTAATTCACATAGAGAAATTATGCTTTATTTAGAGTTAGATCATTCTATTGTAGCCTCAGGTTGTATTTTTAAATGCTTGCTTTTCTACAGTATATGGATACTGTATATCCTATCATTTCCTTCTAGTAAACTCATGGTTAGCATTATCACCAAGCTTCCTTTTATTGTGCTAAAATACATATAACATAAATTTACCACTTTAACCATTTTAAAGTGTACAATTCTGAGACATGTAGTACATTTACAATATTGTGCAGCCATCACACACTACCCAGTTCCAGAACATTTTCATCACCCCAAAAAGGAAGCCCCATACCCATTAAGCAGTCACTCTCTATTTCTCCCAGCTCTGACAACCACTACTCAGCTTTCTGTCTCTGCTGATTTATCTATTCTGGATATTTCATATAAATGGAATCATATTATATAGACTTTTGTGTCTGGCTTCTTTCACTTAACGTAATGTTTTCAAATTTTATCCATGTTGTAGAATGTATCAGTACTTCATTCCTTTGTATGGCTGAGAAATCACCAAGCTTTTTGAAAACGCTTTGCATTCACATGTAGTCTTATAATTGTTGTAAACTCATGACTGTCATGCTGGGGAGAAAAAAAAATTGGAGTGGATAATGCCAATTCTGCTTCCACTTGGCTGTGAATAATTGAAAATATGTTTTTTAAATCCTTCTCACCATTCCTTGTTCTTTTTCCCTCTTGAAGAAACTGAAAATTATCATAGTCAAGTGTCTTGCTCATTATCATCAATAATTACTTATTAGGCATCATTATACATGATGTATTTTATGTGTTACATATAATAAAATCTCTGGTCATTCAGCATATATAAGTGTCTGCTATAGGCCAGGAATAAAGCTGGGTGCCACTGGACACCCCAGACACAGTCCCTGCCTCCATAGATATCACATATTGAAGACATAGAGAATAAGAACATTTAATCAGTATATAAACAAATACGGTACACTAAAGCTGTCATCCAGGAATCTATACATCACATAGGTCAAGATAAATTCATTTGAGGCTTGAGACAGTCAAGGGACATGGAAGGAATAAGCATATTATACTGGCAACATTTACTTTTTAAAGGTATGAGTGGAAACATGCAGACATCCAAGATTAAGTCAGTCTAAACATGTGTTAGACAAAGCCCTAGAAATACATTGAATAAATTATATTCTACCTCAAGCACCTTTTTACTTGGTTTGGCCAAGGCCATAGAATTTTTTGCACACAATAAAGTAACAATAACTATATCTTCATTTGGCCTTCACTCCTTAGTATTAGACATATATATCCAATAGCTATTGGACATCATTACAGTTACCTCACACTCAGTATGCCCCAAACCATAGTACAGTAATACTTTGGTTTGCGAGCATAATTCGTTCTGGAAACAAACTACTCATATTGCAAGACATCGCTCGTTTACCAAGTTAAAATGTATTAGAAATGTTTGCTTGTCTTGCGGAACACTCGCAAACCAAGTTACTCGCAATGCAAGTTTTACTGTATCATCATCCTGCCCAAATTTGATCCTCCTCTTTTTATGTCTTCAAGTCAGTGAATGATACCCCCAGACATCAAGATGGCCAAAGCAGTAAATGAATTCTCTCTCCCTCTCTCCTTTCTCTTCTCCTTCCTCTCCCTTGTTCTTTCCTCTCTCTATCCTATCATCTTCCAAATTCAATCGGCCACTTCTTTTGATCTTTTAAATATCTCTGGAATCTAGCCACTTTGCTGTACTTTAGTTTAGGCTTTCATCATTTTTGTATGAATTGTTTCAATAATTTTCTAACTAGACTCCCTATTCACAGTCATAGCCCTCTTAAATCCCTTCTCCACTTAACATGTCCTGTCAGATGAATTTCCATTTATTCACCCATGCTATTCCCTCTGACAGAATGTCTTGCTTTTGCTTTGCTGCCTGGGACACTCAGCCTTCAAGATTCAGCTTATTATCACTTCCCTTATAAAGTCCTGTCCAAGCTCCCCTCAGCCATCCAATTGATCCCACCACTGATATCATCCAGGCAAAATGAGTCACTTCCCATAATCTTGCCTACATAACTTTATAATAATATTTACTACAACATATTTAATGTTTACCACTACAGATTTTTTTTAAATGGTCTTTACCAATATTTATTGGGATAGAAAGGATCAAAAAAATTATAACAAAACTCCTACAAAGCAAGTTTGTTTTTGGTGAGATTTGTATCTAGAGTTTACAAAGCCAAGAGACACAGTTGGCTATTCTATGATCATTCTCAAAAGGTCTCTGTAAAACTACAGACAAGAGTGGTGGCAAAGCCATAAATTGGCCATCTTAGTTTTGAGTTTTGTACTTTGCTCATATGCTGGTTCTCACTTCACTTTGTAAGTCCAGCTTTCACCAATCACTTCTCTCCTGAGTTCTGTTTAATAAGTGACCTACAATAGTTGGATTTACTTATACCAAGCTCCCTGTTAATTGACCTGATTCTTTTATTTGCTGATTCTGCTCGTGTTTGCTGGTAAGGATCACGTGTGCTAATAGTTATGTCCATGTGCTATAGAAATCTTTCCAAACTAGCCTTTCTCTCTTGCCACTGTTTACTCCCTTAAATAGCATTCATTTCCTTTATCAGGAAGCTCAGTTTTAAAACCATAAACATTTGCCTCACAGAATGCAAACAAGAAGGCTTCAACTGATCTTTCTGTACGAATAAATATTGTTAGCCTATGTGTGTAATCCCTTCTTCCCTAGCCCAGAAAAGCAGACGATCCTGATAACTGTCTTCCCTATGACATTTTTTCTCTAATAAACAGAGAGTATGAATAAAGGGATCTGAAGTGAAGAGGACAATAGGGAAGGGGATAAGAGACATTACATGCAGAATTCTTCATGCATAACCCTCACCTGACATGGCCCTGGGTTATTGTCAGTTTCTGTTTACACATTTGAAAAGGGAAATGTGGTAGGTCAGCATTCCTCCTTAGGAGAACTAGGATGATGACAGATTGCTGAATGTTAGAGTCACTTGATATGTCTTGGCATTATATGTAGTAATGACTCCAAGTCTTCAACCCAGTAAATCTATCCAAACGTCCATGAACTTAGTCTGTAAAAATGGAGACCATAGGTTGAAAAGGGAAATTTGTTCTCAAACCTTTTATTCCTTTTGTACAAATAAACATCTAGCCTAAGAGAAAGCTTATAAGAGTTTATTTGAGCCAAACTGCCGACAATTGCCGGGAAGCAAAATTTCAGCGGACTGAGGAAATGTTCTGCAAAATGGCAGTTTGCAGCTTATTTTATACATAGAATCAAAGGAGGAGGGTTACATGAAATCCACTGGTGGTAGATTAAGGGGGTGGTAGAAAGCGAAGTGGGAAAGTCTCTGGAATTGGAAAAGAGTAAATTGGAGAGACAGATACTTCTTTTACATAGGTGGGTACAGGATAGTCAATAGTTCACTTTTTATAGCACATAGAGATGGTAATCAGGGGACAAGAATAATAATGAGGGATTCTGTAGTTTCCTGCTCTGGTGGCAGGAGAGGGGAGAAGGGATTACTGACATTCCAAGGGCATGTTATCCTAGATGCAAAAAGACAATAGACAGGCTCACTTAAGGTAAAGATTGACCTTTGTTAAGGAAGCTACAGGCTAGATGTGACTTCCTGCCATAGCCCACCTTAATTAGGAATTTTATGTTCACGTCATCCTCCATGGTTATTTTCAGTCTGCTGAGCTTGTCAGGCTTAACCTGTGTCTCCTTTTCTGTCCACACTTAGGTTATTTACTAGTGTATGTTGGTTTCTTGAGCCTGCCATAACAACTTACCACAAACTGAGTGGCTTAAAACAACATAAATTTATTTTCTCACAGTTCTAGGGACCAGTAATCAGAAATCAAGATGTCAGCAGAGCCATGCTCCCTCCCTAGGCTCTAGGATAGAACCCTTACTTCCTTTCCCCAGTTTCTTGTGGCCGACAATGATTTTTGTGTGGTATCACTCCAGTCTCTATGTCTGTTTTCACATGGCCCTCTCCTTTGTTGTTTGTGTCTGTCTGCCTCTCTCTGTGTCTCTTACAAGAACACTTGTCAGTGGATTTAGGCCCACATGGTTAATCTCCTTTTAAGATCCTTAACTTAATGATATCTGCAAAGACCCTTTCTCCAAATAAGATCACATTCACAAATTCTGGGGATGAGGACACAGATATCTTTTGGCAGGCCACTGTTCAACTCATTCCATTAATCTACATAGAAAAGCAAAACAAAACAAAACTCTACACTCTTTCTTAGTCACCATATTGTCCAGTGGCTACTATGTTCTATATTATTTCCAAGAGAGAATCATAATCTCTATCATATTTAAATTTTAAAACATTTTTCTACCATTTTAAGTGATACTATACTATTTTCTAAGTCATATGTCTCTATTTACTCTAATAATATAATCTGTTCTATTCCTAGGGTCATGTGGGTATGCCAGGACCAAGAGGCGCCATTGGACAACAAGGGCCCCCAGTATGTTTTAAAAGCATCCTTTGTAATTCTGGCATTTAAAGAAATTAATGTTAGAATATCATATATTTGGTCTCTGCTTCATACATGACTTCTGTTTTGGTTCCCACTAAAGGGTGAGCCAGGTGACCAGGGCGAACAAGGACTAAAAGGAGAGAGAGGATCTGAAGTAAGTAGAAATTGTTTAAGGCAACTTGAAATGTATTGACTTGAGAAAGAAGGGACACAAGGAGTTGCTATTCATTGTAATTTAAATGATCATTCATCCTTTCAGAGCAAGGATCACTGTAGGCTTCTAAACACGGTATTTGTCAGTGCTTTTGTTGAAACATGGTTATCGATTATTTTATGTGATTTGACTGTCATCCAAATTGCCCTTGAGCAGCAGCCTACTCTGGCTTTGTGAAAACTGCCTAAGGTTGTCCCAAACTAATGGTCTCTCCTTGGGGTTTCAAGCAGAAATACCAACAAGCCTTAAAGTCAGCATTGCAGAGTGAAAACACATCAGTCACACCTATTTAGTTGTTGTAATAAGGTAGGGGAAGACATAGTTTGTGTGACACAGACTCGTGATTGGTTTAAATTTTCTTTTTTCCATAAGACAAATCTATTATTTGTTATGAAACAAACTAAAAATCTACTGGCTGATTGAATTTAGTCATCTGTTTCCCTGTGTATTGAGAGATGTCGCCTCAACTTTATGTAACAACTGGCTATGTAACTTGTACCATCAGTTCATTGCTACCCTGCTTTTCATGGCATTCTGATTTTCAATTCTTCAGAAAATATACTGTATTTTACTAATAAATTAGGTGAGAATAGATAAAAAGTGATGAGTTTGAGACCATCTTTTTCCTAATTTGTTAAGCAGTCTTCACCCATACTTGTGTTTCCCATTTGTGGAAGTAATAAAATTGGGTTGAATCTGATATTACATAGGTGTTCACCCACCTGGAAGCCTTATGAATAATCTTGGCATCTACCTAGTAACTCCCTGTCAGGTTTTTTAATAAATAAGAGCTAAAAAATAATAAATAAAAGCATCCCATTGAATACAAGTTTTAAAAAGATAAAAATGGCAGTTGTCTCATTCACTTAGAATTTTTAATATCCAAGTCAAGAAAGTAGTGGAAAAAGCTATGAAACTAGAACACTGCTACTGCTTCCATGTATATGGCTTATATTTGCAGTAAGTGCCCAAAGATACAAATGTTTTCCCAACGTTAACTCTAAAATTTCCAATCTTTTACAATTAGTACTTTTATATTCCCAATGTTTTCTCTCTTCTTTTTGACATATCTCAGGAAGAAGAAATTTTTTGATGTTTATTAGTTAAAATTATGCCAATAAAAATCAAATATTCTTACTAGACAACTGACTCTCCAGGCTACATTGTCAGCTTACCCTGGTGAGCAAAGGTGAAAAGGTGCTGAGGAGCCATGGTTTAAACTCTGTCTAATCCCCTGGATTAGATTAAAAAGGTTATATTAAAAAGCCTCTTAGAATTTAAAATAGTAATAATTGCTACAAGGATAATCATTGACTAAGTATTACTCACTTAGGGACCCCTTCATTGGCCAGATGGATCCTGTCCAATTGCTATCATCTTGTTTTTGCAAAGCTTTAAATGTTTTTTAGATTTGGAAATAGCCCTTTAAAATCATGTGGACAGCCCGCTCATTTTTCAGATGAAGAAATTTAAGGTCCAGAGAGATTATGAGTTGCCTAAGATCACAGATCTAGTTAGCAACAGAACTAACACTAGAAGCTTTTTTATTTCCTGACTCTCATTATTATACAAAAGCCTCTATTCCTTTGAAATCTGATTAGTTTTACTTAACCAACTGATTCATTCATTGGGCCCTCAGACATGAGAATGTGGGCAACTATAAAGAAAAAAATTAGAGCAAGTCAAAACCAACTGCAAAACCACTACATTTTTTTAAAGACTTATGTAACACAGATGTAGTGAACTGTCTTATAATGGTTTTCAAAGACTTAGACCCAAGCCAAAATCTTATTTTCTTCCTAAAACAAAATTCCAGATTTTAGGGAATTGACATTTCTTGGTTTAGAAGAGAGAGAAAGGGTATAGTTCTGCCTAACTCTCTAAACCTATGTTTGCATTTTAAAGCTACCCTCTCTAGCAAAGTTAGAACTAGCAAAATATTGAAATAACCACCCTTTAGCTACATTTAAAAAAACAAGTGTTTGGACTGTAGTGGCAAATTTGAAAATGTTTGTTAATCAAAGAATCAGACTACCCTCTCCAGTAGTCTATGAGCTGGTACAATGAACAGAAAGCTGTTTTAAATGGATTTGATTTCAAATGGGCCATTCTTTTTCCAAAACTAGCCAGGCAAAAAGAGAAAGCACCATTTTTCATGCACTCCAAAGACTATATATAAAATTCATTTGCCTTTCCTATTACAAGAACAGAAAAGTCTGTTGATTTATGAGGTACCTATATTTAAATAAAATAATATGAGTAAGTTAAGTCTGAAAGTAGCATAGAATACTTGTAGTTTTATTATATTTGAATTCTGGCGATTGGTTGCAGTGACTTTTTTTTTCCTTTTATGATACCAACTCAATCATCTGCTAACACCTTATATGACAACGTATTTTCTTTGTCTTTGGCCCAATCTGTAATTTCTAACTGAATAGACCACCTTGGTGTAGGATTAATGTTTAGTAATGTTTGGCTCTTAATTTAGTTATAAGACTCTCCAGCAATTTCAATATTGAAACTTTTTTTAAATGCACAGATTTTAAAAAGTACCAATGTTCTACACTTTGTTGATCTTTATGTATTTAAGTCCTTTATTGTAAGACTGTTATTTTTTCCTAGATGGTTTACTTCCTTTAGTTATGGTGACAATAATTATAAGGAAATCATTCCTGAATTAAACATACAGAAACAGCAGAGACTATAGTTTTGTTATTTGTTAAACACTTTGTGTGTGTTCAATGGGTAGATTTTGTCACAGTTGTTCTCTTACAAGTAGCAAAATACACCTTAAAAATAATTGTCATAGTCATACTTTTCCTTTAGTGTTATTCTATTGCAGCGTTTCTCAACCTTCCTAATGCTACAACCCCTTAATACAGTTCCTCATGTTGTGGTGACCCCCAACCATAAAATTATTTTTGTTGCTACTCTATAACTGTAATTTTGCTGTTATGAATCATAATGTAAATATCTTTTTGTTTTCCGATGGTCTTAGGCGACCCCTGTGAAAGGGTTGTTTGACTCCCAAAGGGGTCGCGACCCACAGGTTGAGAATCGCTATGGGAGCTGCTTCCTGTTTTCCACCCAAGTCTGAATTACATTCTAGTCATCATGATGTAGATTTTAGTGCACAATGTTTAACTCTACTGAAATAATCCCCAACATAAATAATAGTCAACCCAAATGTAATTAATTGTGATGATATATGAATCTATTTTTATTTTGTTATTTGAATGTTTGGACTAAAACACTCACATACATGTGTAGCATACCTGAACCTTAAGCTGTAAATTTAGGTATACTAAAAGAATACCTTTGCTTCTGTTCTTTATAATGGAACCCTACATCTGTCCTGAATGCCCATCCTGCCTGGTGATGGAAACCTAATTGGTGGACATCGTCAATTGAGAGTCTTTGACCCCTCCACTCAAATATCCTGCATTTGATTTAGAGTTTTCCCCATCCCCTCTCTTGTCAAGTTTGCAGTTACATTCTGGGTGGCAATGGCAGGGAAGGCAATTGGGAGTTGAGTTTAGTCTTCAGTCATCATGTATTCACACTAGCATCCACTGAAATTTATAGCACCTTTTTGGCCCCCAGTTGCCATCATTCCCTCCCATCTGCCTTGGCATCTACCTTGGCCCTCCTGGCAGTTCTTTGATCCGTGTTGGCATGTACAGCTATTTTCTCATCTCAGGTGTAAAGTCTCCTTAGATACCTAGGTCTCTCAGGGCCATAAGCTTCTGTTCTTGGCCACATGGAAATAACATTCTGCTGCCCCACACCATGCTAAGTGCTGGCGGGACCCAGACTTTCTCAAGTCATTGACATAGACTTCTCACACAGAAATTTCTAGTCTGTTGCTGACACTCAATGCAGTTTATGTGTACTCCTCACTAAGGACATTAGTCTCTCTAGCCATCATCCCCGTGTCCAAATCCACAAGCTTATCCGAGAGTAGTATTGTTTCTACCCACCCCAGACTTGAGTGCAGAATAAAGGGCTCTTCTCAGAGATACCTGGCAGTATTTAACAGTCATGCTACTCTTCTGCTTTTCTCTTTACCTTTCACCAAGTTGAAGATTTTTATATCCTCTTAGGTAGGAAAATTTCTTTCTTACATTAATATAATTCTTTGAAATCTGTTCTTTATGGCATAGATCTTATGAATTGAATCCTTTATAACTTTGGTTTTTGATAATCAAAGATAGACTTCTAATATTTAAAAATCTTTTGTATTTAAAAAATATATCCTTCTCAAACTATTATATTCTTAAACTGTTCCTCACTATGACTTTCAGAGGACTGTTTTGAAATGTATAAGCTAAGGAAAAGTCTATTTTGAAAATCAGGAATCTAGAATAGATATTACCACTTTGCATAAAAAAAATACTGTGAAGAAAAAAACCACACTGTTAACATATTTGAATATTATCATGACTCATATACTGTTTAATTAGTGCTATTTAAGATAACTGAAATCAGAATTGTTCTCAATATTTAAAAGTCTTATTTTACTTTTTTTTGAAAGATATGTATTATTATAGGGATAATATGTTCCAGAAATTTTATATACTTCAATTAAACCAATTGTATCTATGTTATCTATCCCATTTTCTGTTTTTTTTTACTCTTAGAAAGACTACATTAGTGACATTTTAAGACAAGTAAAATAGTTTGCAAAGTCAGGAGTAGAGCCTTTGTTTCATATAGTTCTCCATTATCAAATTCTAACAAAATTGAATTTTTATCTCTTATATAAAAAGCCCTATTTCTCTGTGACTAGATATATTATTTCCTCTTAAAATGTCTAAGCTTATTTTCAGAAGATGTAATATCTTATGAAATCATTTTGTTGTTGTCAAATTGAATCTTTAGCACAATTTATCTTCAGATTTGAATAGCTTTATATCCCATTTTGGTGGAATTTATCCTGTTTGTGAGAATTTTTTATGACTCCTGAGAAATGTGTCTGGTAATGACAATATGCTTTTTTTTTTGCTTTTTTTTTTTAATTTGTGAACTAGGTCACCTTTTTCCACATTTTCTATTTTAAAATAATTTTAGGATATCATCAGAATAATGGTATGACATGCAAAGGTAAAATTCCTAACTATCCTGGCAGACCAGTCACTGTTGAATCAATTATGATTTAAAACATCTCACACATGGAAAAACAAACAGTTCCGTGGGAAATGTTCTTCTGTATGCATCCAGACAGCACATTTTAGGCTTGTTGGGTCATGTCTGTCACTGCACTGTAAGTGCCTCATGATTAAGAACTTTGACTTTGCATTCCCAGCACATAACAAACTCTCTGATACATAATATTCAATAAATGTGTACTGAATTAATTAAGCACTTAGCCACTTTCAATAGGAGAGAACGGCCCTGCCTGAAAGTAGGGACATTATAATCTATTCAGTTTCCTCTTAGAACTCTGATTTAAATCCTTAAATCATAGAATTTGGAGCTAAATGGAAATTCATAGATTATCTGATCAAATTCTCTGTTTTATTTGAAGAAAATGACTCTCGGGAAAGTTCCATATCAACCTCAGTGAGATGCAAATAGTGGGAGTACTTGCTGTAGCATCCAGGTCTCAGGGTTCTTTCCTATGCCTTCAGTTTAATTAAATTTATTGCAATCAATTGACAACTCTGATTTACATTTTTAGGGTCCTAAGGGGAAAAAAGGAGCTTCTGGTCCTTCTGGGAAACCTGGAATTCCTGTAAGTAACAAACCCTGTGCATCTTTCTTGCTTTTCTTAATAGAATTGGCAACTGTAGCAAGCAGAAAAGATTGGGGCCAATTATGACAAGTGTTAGATAAATCAGATTGTCCTCAAAAAAATTTAAGCCCATGCTGGAACACAGCGGAAACAAAATATGACCATTAGCTCAAAACCAAGCTTAATGTTTATATGTAAGTCTCTGAAATTGAAGGATGATATTTTTCAGTGTTATGGAGCCCTGTCTGTAGACTCACGCTACTCTCTCTGATGGTGAACCACTGAAAACAGGGAACTTGGAATCATGACTAAATGATTGGTGACAAAGGTCAGAGATCTTCAGGCATGAATAAAAAGACATGAGCTGTATTTTAATTGAAAGACTCGACCTCCCATTTTCTTTGTAAATAGAATAGAAAGTCTTATAAGAAAAGTTTTTTAACCCTTTCATCATAGAACAAAAATTAATTTTACCTTAGCCATCAGTTTCCTCCTCTGGCCAGGTAAATATGTGTTGACTTACTTGCTTATTAGCAAAAACTTCCTGCTGATCTCCGCTTAGCCAGGGGCTGATGTCTGCTTTGGGTGGCCTGTGTTGGTTCACAAAAAGTAGAGAAAAGTATGAACATAAATTATCATACATTCGTATGAGAGATTCCTACAGATAAAATCCAGTTACCCAAGATGGAAACAAAATGTTTAGACCTTTAGTTAGTCATATAATGATCTTATTCAAAGTGGCAAAAAAAAGAGCCATGATTTTGTTTCTTCAGAAAAATAATACAATATGAGGTTTTGTAGATGGTGAATGTCAGCCTATATCCTCAGCTGATGGGTGCATAGAGCTGATCTTTTCTCTATAGCTGAATAAAGAATGGGCACAATGAGACAACCAGAGAATTACACTAAAGCTGAAAAGGTCACACAGTAAATTGCTGATTAGCTTGTCATTTTTGTTTAGGGAACTTTTTTTTTTTTTAGCTGAGCCATCCTGCCACCTGTTGGCAGCTCAGAGGCAGCTCAGCTTGGGCCGTAAATCAAACCGGTGACCCTGTTGCTCAGAGCTTGCACTCTTGAGCGAGCTCTTAACCAATGGAGCCACTCAGCCGGCCCCTTATTTAAGGAACTTTTAAAAGACAAGTTAGTTACCTGCCTGATCTGTTGAATCTAAGTAGTAAACCATTAAAGAATCGAGGAAACAGGAAAATTTATCCTGGGACAGAGTATTAAAAATGTAAACATTTCTCCCCATAAATATAAAGGTATTTGTCATTTAATCATCTGTACAGCAGCTCTCTATAATCTAAGTAATTTTGAATTATCAAGGGACTTCCAGGCCTACCTGGGCCAAAAGGCATGCAGGGATTCAGTGGAACAGATGGCATTCCCGGAAACCCTGGAAAAGTTGGCCTACCAGGAAAACAGGGACTTCCTGTAAGTAGACTTATCTCTTTGCTTTTTATTCTTCATTCATAAATGTCTCCTTGCTAGACCATACGATATGCGTAGATATTCTGGCTATCTTTCTTAGCTTTGACATTGGCTCGGATTAAGCCAATCATTTCTTTAATAGCTATATTGAAATTGTGTTTATGATTTCTGGGGAGTGTCAATGAGCGTATTCTCTTGGATATTTTATATCTAACAACACATACTTTTGATAATTTATGCCATTTTTACACATATAAGAGCTTGTAAATAAGGACCATAAAGAAGCAAAATATTATGTGCTACAGACCCTGGCTATGTTTTGAGCTTATCAAATGTCTTAAGCCACTCTTAACATTTAAGCCTTGGCAGTAATTCAGTTATTGTATCAGAGTCTAACTAAAGACAAATGACACACTTCAATGGGCGATTGAGGAGGGTAACCTTACAAAGATGTGAGCAAGGCTTAGGGAAACCAAGAAGAGATGCTGAGGGAGGCAAAGACTTGCAACAGTGGGGAGCCGTTATAACCCCTGGGCCTGAGAGACAAAGAGAAAGGAACAATTATCACGTTATAGAGAAAGTATTTATTGCTATGTGAGGGAGCTATGTGGCAGGAGTTGAGACTTTCAATAAAAGGATTCAGCCAATCCACTGTAACCCAGCAAATAGAGAGCTC